TTATTGTTATTGTTATTGTTATTGTTGTTATTGTTATTGTTATTGTTATTGATTGTGGACTGCGGACTGCGGACTACTGCCTGGATATAAAACACGGACTCGGGTACAAAACGCGGACTGCAGAGTAAATGCGGCCTACCGACTGCAGTCCGTGTTTTATACTAACCAGTCGTAACTAATATTACGTTACACTTGTATAAACGAGAACAAACCTTCTCGTATGTACGTGCTTTGCGATCAATTCTTTTGTTTTTGCCCCCTGCTGGTCGTCATAACAGCTCAGGCACAAAATGCTGTTTCTAGAATTTTTGCTTTTTTAACATACCAAAAACCTACTAACACTCGAACGCACTCTGTAAGCTACGATATCTACTAGTTAATAGGAAATATAGGGTCATTTAGGATGTAGAGTGGAATATACACGAGAGCAGATGGCCTCCTGACGGGGTAGGAGAGAAAAAAAAAAAAGCGGGAAAGTTTCCCCTCGCCAATGGGCACAGAATGGGAGGCTACCAAGCTCTTTGGCGCGTTTGTTGCACATTTGTCTGGCATCGAGTGACTTGTGTTAGTAAAAGCGGGCATTATGTCCAAGAGATCAAAGGAAAAACCCACTAAATCCGAGAGTGAAAGCTCTGAGGAAGAGGAGGTAACTACTTATACGACAGTGTGTTAAAATTCCATCTTGCAATCTTATAGTTAACTTGCATTAATTTGCCTCTATTTCTCATTTCAGGTGAAACCGAAGAAGAGCAAAACATCTGAGAAATCGAGCAGCAGCTCGAAAAAATCTTCCAGAAGTTCAAAAGATGAAGACTTCGGCGTTTTTGAGGTTGTAGAATGAAATTTACACCAGTTGGTGTTTTTACTACATATAACTTCGAGTAAAAAGAAGCGCAAAATTAAAACGAATTGTAATTTATGCACCTATCAATGTCTAGCCCGAGGGGTAGGGGAGGGGGGCGAGACAGTCCAAATCTCCACTCCTGGTACAACATGATTGGTAAAAAGTTTCAGAATTCTCCACCCTGAGGCAAAGAAAACTCAGGAATAAGTAAACATGCAGAGAACGATGGACAAAAAATATTCAAAGCAAAAGCTCTTTCCTTCAGTACATGCAATTAATTTAATTTTATAGACTAAAAGTATTTACTGTATTTCTCAGTTTTTCTGACCCTTGTGACCGGTAATCAGTAACTGGGCTGGCTAAAAATGGCTTCCATGTCAAATTCCCAACCCTGGGGATGTCACTTAGAATAAAATCCTTACCCAGGGAACAGTCCTCATAATCAAAATACCATGGGTAGCCCTCCACCCACCTTCCTTCCTTAGGCTTGACACTGAAAGGTGTATTAGCTAACAAATTAATATTACGTTGCCGCTCAAGTTAGAAAATAACTGCTTTGAGACTAATAATTGGAACTCATTCCTTCCCTGTTTTAAGTATTATTTTAGTTTTTGCCTCTTTTCCTTGTCACATATCTGTGGGGCTAGGTGGTGGGTTGGAAGCTTGCTGGAAGAGCACTTTGGTGGGCTTCTGCTACTGCCAAGGTCTTCAAATTCAGCCTTACATTGGCTCTAGAAAACACTTAAAGTGGCTCATTCCCCTGTTCTTGCCAAGATAAGGTCTGGATATGTGTTCCTGTTCAGAGGAACAATTCAAATAGGTTGTTGGTTTTTGTTTTTGGCTTGTGCATTACACCTTTTCCAAGAAAATATTACCCACTAGATAAGCACTTGAGTGGTAGAATCTTGATTTTACCCTGTTCAAACGAAATTTCTTACTATTTTAATTATTCCTTTCTTCTTCTCAGATTGGCAACAAGCGCAAAGTGTCTGTGAGGGAATTTAAGGGCAGACTACTAATAGACATTAGAGAATTTTATGAAAAAGATGGAGAGTTGATGCCCGGAAAGAAAGGCAAGTACATACTAACCAAAAAAAAGGCACCGAAAGCCAGGATTGGCCACCTTATAATTTTAAGGAAGGTCAAAGGTTGACGCCAACAGATTGTTCATTGCTGTGCTCATTAGGCCTTTGCATGACCAGGTTATGTGACCTCGTCAATCAAAAAAAAAAAAAATGGTCATGGTGCAAAGGAGAAACCAGAAGGGGAAAAAGTCTTCATACTAGCCAAGTGGCCCATCAGGCCTGAGCTTATCCCAGTTTCTGTAGCATGAAGCAACCAGGAGTATTTCTACTACCCCCTGGTTGGGATACTAGTCCATTGCTGGGTTACCCCCAGCATTAAATTTGCTGGTACCCATTTATACACCTGGGTGGAAAGAGGAATGTGAGAGTAAAGTGTCTTACCCAAGAGCACAACACAATATCCCTGGTGAGGACTCGAACATGTGCTATACACATATGCATGTGAAATGCATATCGGTGCTATCAACGTTCAAGTTTTGAAGATTGATTGTTCATTGCAGTTACATATGCACACAACTGTGAATAAAATTAAAATCATGTCTTCATATCTTTCCCTGTAGTTCAAATAATATGATCATTCATATATTTTGTAAGGTTTAAGTTTCATACAAAAAATAAGGTGTCTATTTAGTGTACATAATTATCTTGTGAGAAATTCTATTATTCATTGGATAAAAAGATAAGAAATAAGTGAGATGCATTGTTTACTTCTCGATTCTACAGCCGTCAATCTTGGAAAAGACAGCAGGGCATCAAATGATTTTTCATGTTTTAAATTCTATTGGTAGGCATATCTTTACAACTGGAACAGTGGGAAAAGCTGAAGAATCTTGTTGGTGACATTGATGAAGCTATTGAGGAACTCAGAGGATAGCAATGCAAAGTATTAATTCATTACATTCTGTAGACAGTTGCCGTAGCCTATTGCAAATCTGAAGGATTCTCTCAGGGTTGATTATTTAATGTCTGTGCTTGCTTTGCATTTTATGGAGAAAAATACGAACAGTATTGAGCTGCATTTTTGAACTTCAAATTGGTTACACTTAATAGTGATGGGAGATTAAATTTATTGTTAGTGTTGCTTGGACCACTGCAAAGTGTTCGATGACAAGAGGTGTCACTCACAGGAGTCTCTAGCATGTTGCATCATGATGAAAATAAAGAACAAGTGACCGCTAAAATAGTTTTTTCCTATACGAACATATTCTTTGAAGTGGTACTATACGAAATGAATGGATACCAGAAAGGAGAATAATATTTATAAAATTACTGTATGTTGACCGTGGGACTTGAAGGGATGGCAGTTTCTCATAAATTATAATTATCAGAAAGATATTTTCACAATTAAGATCATGTTGTTGTTTGTGAATAATGTTGCAGTGCAACTTCTTTGACAGGGGCCACTTAATTCAAAAAGCCATTAATTTATATTTAGATGGAAACAAAACACTCCAGTCTCAGTTTGAAAGTTTTTTGGGGGGTGAAATCAAGCTTAGTTGCACTTAAATCTGGATTTTGAGTGACCTGCTTTCCCTGCCAGCTTTTCTTTCTTCTGCGATTTTTTTTTTTTTCACTCAAAATAAGGGGGCTGGGCTCTGGGCCCCTCCCCTAGATCCGCCACTGGATACAGTATCATACATCTGGGTTAAGGGGGCGACAGTGAGAGTAAAGTACTATTTTTCCCAAGAAATAGCTTGATAATGACAAAATAATGGACATCAACAAATGTGAATGTTGAATACATTTGACAACATTTTGAACTTGGAATTGCACTGGAATTCTTTGTTTGCAATCCTCTATTCCTGGACAGTTGGTTTTCATTGTTTTGATGGCCTCAGTGCAACAACTGAAATAACGTTTAACTTGAAGTAGAATGTATTATTTTAAATTAGTATTTAAAAGTAATTTATGATTTATTTATTTTCTTTTTTTCTTTTTTTTTCCTTTCAGAGCTTTTGTCAAGAGAGTAACATTGTAGTTCTACCTACTAAGAATTTATATTGTTTGTGTATTTACTTTCAATATTCATGTAATATCAGCTAAAGGTGTTTTGAATTTCGCAGCCCAAACAATGCAAAAGCAACTATTTATTTCTCCTGAAGGTAATGATAGCAAGCCACACAAGCTAAAACTACCTCAAGATGGAAATAAATTGTGCAAAGAACATTATTAAGATCTTGATTGTTTGTCAGGGCTCCGAATTATAACAAAATAACTGATGTTTCATGAAAAAAAGTTTCTAGTTTTGTTGTTTCGACTACAAGTTTAAGTCAGTTTGTGTTGTTAGGTCAATTTTTCAATGTATAGTATTTCAGCTTATGTCTTGTATTATTTTATATATTGAGTCAAGACTGGTAGACTTTTTCAAGTTCTCGAAACAAAAAAAAAAAAATAAAACAACATTAATATTATTACAATGTTTCTGTGATTATTTGTTATTACATTTGTTAAAAATTGTATTGGATTACAACCAGAGTACGAAAGAGAAACAGATGTTGAAAATGCCAGTTTTGCAGCAGTTGTGAATATGCCCCAATATCTTTGGTTTACTAAAATTTACATAGCCCAAGGTTGGATCCAAATAACTTCAAGACAAGGTTGATCATAAAATCAGCCTCCTTGGCAGCAGTTGCCCTTCATGTTGTCCTCTCTACCTCCCCTTTGAATGCCTGTAATGCAGCCTACCCCTTGACGAGAGTAGAATAGGGAGGCATTGTAGTCAAGTGTTTTAAGGGTGCTGGATTTGAAATCTGGAGGTGAACTCCTGGTTCAAATCCTCCAACCTGCCACTATCTGGATTTGTTCTAAGTAGCCCTGAGTTCAACTCCTCCACCACATTGTGTAAATAGCCAACTGGTCAGCCTCCCACCAGTTGGGAGGATTTATGTTCTACTGTATTTGCAAAATTTGTTTTATTTATTCAGTGTCCCCAATTAGCACAACAATGTTAAATAAACTTGACACTAAAATAAAAGTCATTCATTTTGTTTTGTTTTATTTACCATAAATTGTTTACTTAAGACTGTTCAATCGTTGAAGAACCATGTCTGGACCAGATGAAGGAAGAAGAGCCATAAACGTCACCAGTTTTGAATCTAAGCCAACTTGATATCGTGTTTGAGGGTTGTTTGACATCAGTGCGTCCACANCCACTATCTGGATTTGTTCTCAGTAGCCCTGAGTTCAACTCCTCCACCACCACATTGTGTAAATAGCCAACTGGTCAGCCTCCCACCTGTTGGGAGGATTTATGTTCTACTGTATTTGCAAAATTTGTTTTAATTACTCACAGTGTCCCCAATTAGCACAACAATGTTAAATAAAATTGACACTAAAATAAAAGTTATTCATTTTGTTTTATTTTATTTACCATAAATTGTTTACTTAAGACTGCTTAATCGTTGAAGAACCATGTCTGGACCAGATGAAGGAAGAAGAGCCATAAACGTCACCAGTTTTGAATCTAAGCCAACTTGATATCGTGTTTGAGGGTTGTTTGACATCAGTGCGTCCACAACAGCATTAACAACCTTGTACGTGTGACCGGAACACATATCCAAACCTTTATGGAAAATCTTGATCACTGTAAAATGAATGGTATTTTATTAAGTAAAGTGCATTTAGAGTTTGTACCATGTCGACCTACTGTAGAAATCTGTTTTTAATTGGAATTTTTCAGGACCTCCGAGTCTCCTCTGTAGTCTCTCCCAGTTGTTTGGTCAGTTGGAGATAAGGGCATGGAACAGCAAAATAATAGAAAAAAAGAAGCAAATTATTCTCCACAACTGCTCCCCATTCTTTGGGTTGCTCCTCAACCTCCTGATCAACAGGACTAGAACAAGGCCTTCTGAACAAAATAATTGTTCATGACAATGATGCAAACTTCAATGAAATTATTATTTCTTCAATCAGTTATTGGCAGAGTTGACTTAGTGCCATACTGTAACTAAGTGTCGGCTCCAAATTAAAGTGGACACAGGAGAACAGGTCAACTCTAAGAAACGTTTTGTAATGCATGATTTTTGAAAACATTGAAAGCATTCGTGATTCTATCAAATGATTGTCATTGATTGATTGACAATTGATGATTGTCAATTGATGATTGTCACTTTGCAGTGGGTTTCTCATCATTTGTCCCATTCCTTCATACAATGAATAATATATTTATTGAGGTGTAACCTGGTACTTGATCTATTGTTAGCCTCTGAACAGGCTGTCTAGTCCAGGAAGGGGAAAAGAGAAAGGAAATTCATTCTCTCCCATTTCCCTCACCGTCCTTCCAGCTGTGGTCAGACTCTTCCAACCGGAGCCTGTTCACAGGCTAATCTATTGCGAGCAGGGCGATTTTCAGTTTCTATGCATATGGTTAAAAATGATATTGGACATAGTTATTCTGCCAATCTTTAAGACTCTATCTTACGTCTCTCCACATATTCTTCAGAGTAATCCTCCCTGATTTCTTCACTCAAAGACTCCCAGTGTCCTCTAAATATCCTCTCAGCTCTGTTACCGTCCATAAGACCAGTTTTGAATGATCCGGGCTCTATGATGCTGACTCTTACATTCCATGGGCTCATCTCTCGTCTCAAAGCATCAGAAAAAGCTTCTACGCCGTACTTTGTGATACAATAAGCACAGGAAGTGGGAACTGACAATTGTCCTGTTGAATTTGCAAGAGTACATTAATTGAATAATTACTGAATTTGTCATAGAACTGTATAAGAAGTAATGTTCTTGGAATTTAAGAGTTAAAAGCCAGACTCAATTACCCTTACACATAGATCTATACAATGGTCTTGCAAAGTTCTTGAAAATGAAAAATTTTGGCTTCTTCCTTGAAATGTCCTTGTTGATAATTGCTTGAATGTACAAGACTTCAGGATAAAAACCAATACTGATATGGATATACAAAACTGAATATCTAATTCTCAACAAAACAGTCTCAAAAGTTAATTTTGATGAAACAGAAGTTACCTTGCAGTGTTGCAATCTTGCCCTAACAATGGGGTCTTGAGCATTCTGTATTACTTTTTTTGAGCCCCCTTTCCCCTAACTTAAAAACTTTTACATATGATTCAGAGGGAAATAAGTCTCCTTAAATAATCCTTGGAAAAAGAAGTCTGACATTTGTATGATCTATGATGTCAGTACAACACTCTGTGTAAAGCAAGTACCAAAACCACCAAGCAGGCCTAGAGATGGAATCACCAGGGAAAACAGAAGAGAAGGCAGCCAAGGAACAGCTGGCGATGTTCAATGGAGGGGGAGATGAGAGAGGCAGGCTTCAACTGGTGACATTTGAAGAGGCAGTCTAAAGACAGAAAGGTAGGGAGAAACTTCCTTAAGGACCTATGCCCCTCACAGGGTGAAAGGGTTTAATAAGTCATGGTGTCAGTGCAGATGGATCATGAAGTACACAGTGGTTTCTAAAAGCATGTGGTTAAGTTTACTAAGTCAGGCCTTCTAGTGCCCAGAATGAGGGCCTTATAGTTTCCAACAAAATAGCCGGGCCTAGACCCCCCTCCAACATCCGACAACAGTCTCTCTCTGTCTGTAAACTTCAACTGTAAAAATACTAGAAATCAAACATTTCAGTTACTGATCCTTTTAGAATGTTTGTACACCATGTCCTTCTGACCTAACATGCTGGAAAAGTTCACCACTCGTCCTTCAGCTTTTTTAACAAGTGGAAGGAAAGTCTTAGTGACATCAATCAAGCCCCAAAGATTGACATCGGCAACTTGCTTGAATTCATCAAATGGCATCCACTCGATTAATCCAAGCCTTGCCACCCCAGCGTTGTTGACCACGCCCCAAAGGACTGCAAACCAATCGAGATAAAACAAATAAATAGTCAGTCATAAATTCAATTAATGTTAGCAGCAGTGAATCTAGATGATGAACTTGTGCCCCTTTTCCTGAAAAATATTCCCATAGGATCACAAATTCCCTTCTCAGTCACTCTACTCCCCATCCCCCCATTATAGCAGATTTTAGCATGCTGGCAACCTGAATGGTACTTCAACCCATTTGGTACTTGGAGTTGTCATTTGGCTACAAGTGTGACATACTCAGGAAGGCATTTAAAAAAACAAATTGACATTAGGCAACTGGCACTAATAGACACCTGTGGAAACCTACATGTAGCCATACCCACCCCTTGAGGAAAAAGGTTTTTCCTTAGGGGGTGGGTATTCAAGGGTGGATCTAGGGGGTGCGGGGGGTGCACCCCTTGTGATAACATGCGGCTTACTAAAATTTGTTTACCTCACCAGTCAGTTATGCCATTCCTTAGTAGTACACCCCCTTGTTAGTGTTACACCCCCTTCTGGATCCACCCCTGGTACTGCTACACATAAACTTCACCTATGGAAACAGATCTGCCCAATTAACATTAAGAACTGTTTTCATTCCATTTGTTCCCATGGAATCTTGTCTTCCCGCACCAGGGAAGACACTAATCCCCCGCTCCTCCTCTTAGCTTCCTGTTGATGAGGTTAAGTCAAACATTACCTCCTTAACAAAAGGAGAGCAGTGTCCCCCTAACCCATTGCAGAAATATTCGAAAGACGTTTAAAATGTTAGCGACAGAGAACCCCCTCAGAATTGTCTTTTGTATACTCTAAAAAAATCTCGCCAAAGTGGGCAGGGGGGAGGGGGGGGGGGGAGTCGAAGTAAAATGGAATGGCCCCCTAGCTAACCCACCGCAATCTGGAGGTAACAGTTCTTTCACCCTTGCATAAACAGCTTTGATCTTGTGCGAGTCAGTAACGTCAAGATGTAGAGGAAACACTCTACTGCTTGTCACTGCTTTCAAGCTTTCCTCTCCTTCTTTCGTTAAACATGTCGCGAAAACACCGAATCCCAGTTTGTCCAATGTGAGGGCTGTTTCCCGCCCGAAGCCAGAGTCGCAACCGGTGACGAGGACAAATTTCTTGTCAACGCCAGATATGAATGATCTGTTGTAATAATTCCATAAGCAAAGTATAATACATACTAGAAAACAGATAAACAGAACTGCAGCAACGAATTTAGCCATTCTTCGTTCGAACGCGTACGAAAAGCAGGGAAAAAACTGGGTACGAAACCAACCTTTTCTTTAAAGAAGTCTATTCATTGAGTGTTACATGAAGGGAAAACTAAATAAGCCGCTGACCACTTATTGCTCAAAAAAATTGTTTTGAAAAGTTTGAACGGTTATAAACGTGATGGCAGCTTCGATTGAGTTTAAAATGCCCCAGAACAACCCAATAAAACCAGAAAAACGGGCGAAGAAGAAGCCAGCACAAAGAACTCGTTCAAAGAGTCAACTTGAGCATCGATCTTCTGCGATCTTGCCATTTTCGGCTTGGGTTGAACCCCATCGTGGACCGGTTACACTCGCACACGGCGCCCGCGAGGAAGAACTTCGACTGAAAAGAATTATTCAAGAAAAGGAAGAAAGGCTAAGAGAATTTCAACAAGAGGTAAAAGCTAGAGTAAGGAATCTTGAGCAAATGAGGCGTGAAGAACAGCATGGTATGTCCGTGGAAGCTTTTGTGGTTGAACGAAATGTTGTGCAGCAAAGCTCGTTACCAAGCACTGTCAGACGTGACAATTGTGTGTATCGCGATGATTCCGAACTAAAAATCCAGAGAAGCGCTACCAGAGATTACTCGGCAGTAGATGCTGCAAGTCATTTGCTGGAAGAACACGCTAAAAAGATCCGAAATTGCTCCAAACATGCCAGGAATGTTCTGAGCTCGAAGAGTCTTGGAGCAGAAGTTGAAGATTTGAGTAAACAGCTTCCTGGCGGTTTGTGGCGAACTTCACCGACTAGAGATCACGCTCTATCAAGGCAAAGATCTGAAATCGGAAAACCGCAAGAACAACTTGCAAAGGATGATTCGGAAAATGATTACTGGATTGGTGAGAATGCTATTAAAGATCAGAGTTTTGATCACGAACGTTGGATTTCCGACAGTGAATTTCCTGGAAAAGAAGGCCAAAGATCAGCCTTACATGCAGAAAAACGGGTCCACTTTGAAGACGATGAAAATGTAGAAATTATAAATAGTGACTGGAATAGCCTGCAGAAGCAAGCTTGTGATCAGGAAAAGAAAACGGCCAAAAGTAGTGTGGAAGTTCTCCTACAACCTTCTAAATTGTTAGAGGAAAAAAAGGCCCGTGCAAAATCCCAAGTTGCTGTGTACAGGAGGCTGTTTATGGATATCGAACGAGAGCAGGTTAGAGAGAACATTCGAATGAAACAACACCGCAAAAGAATGGAAAATCTCAAAGTCCAGAAAGAAGTGGAACGCCTCGAGATAGAGCAACGACAAATCGACAAATTAAAAATGCAAAGGGTTAGAAAAGAGGAAGAGTCATTCCTCAGAGCTCGGAAAGAAAAAAAACATCAAGTGGATTTGGCTAAACAACACAAGAAACTTCAGAAAGAGAAGGAGACAGAAAGGTATATAGAAGCTTTACAGGCCATTTTGAAGGAGAAGGTGCTGAGCAGAAACATTGTTCTTCCTCCACTATGCTCTTGTGGGCCAACAATCTGGGATACAAATCCTGATACTTGTGCTAACAATTGTGTGTTCTACAAGAATCCTAAAGCTTATGCTAAAGCACTGTCCACTGTACTAGGCTCTGCAAACCTTGAATAGTCACAATGATATGGTCATAGAAGGATTATGCCTTGTTAAAATTGCATGAAGCATGAGATCCAAGGTCTTGCAAGACCAGAAGAAGTTCCACATTTTTCTCAGAGTCAAATGGGCGAGTGCACAAATGCACACAAATATCACCTCACACGAGGACAGGTGCTTGCCTGCTCACATGCTTGCATACTTGGAAAACCCCTAACCCGTGATCAGGCATTCTGTTTTGGGGAGCAAACAAAAGCAGCAGCTGATTGCAGGTAAACTAACCCTCAGAAAAATTACAAGTAAGTGCATACCTACACCTAGTCAAAGGTATTGCAATTTAATTTCTTGGGAATCTGATCTCTCAATAGTTGTCTGCAAAATAGTAAAAAGCCTTTTGTTTTGTATAATACATGGTAATGAATCACTCAATAAACTTGATAAAGTTGAAAAAGCCTGTTATGTATTCAGCTGCAAGTCATTTTCCCTGCTGTCCATTTACTTTCCTTCAACTGGTGTTGTGGAAGAAAAAAACCTGACCTGGGAATGATTGATTGGGTAATACTCCCTACCCCCCTTCACATCCCACTCCCTTCCCAACCTCCACCTGAGTACAAAAAACATTCTTTGCAATTCATACCTGACTAGCGTAATAGTGAACTATAAAAGTTGATAAAAAAACTTCTAAGAATAACATACCTCCCAACTGTTATGCCTCCAGTTTGAAAACTTTGATCTCTCACATGTGAGTCACTTCCTCGCCTACAGTAGCTGATAAAAAATCTTCTCATCAGCTCTTACAGCCTTAACTGACAAATGTTTGAAAAATATGGAAACTTTAGCCTACGTAAATGACAGCAGACTTGCCCCAATTCTCTGATTTTAAAAGCAATGGTGGTGGTGTCATGTTAGGTGAGGCATATGCGGTGACTCGGACTAGGAAAAATTTGGAACATGCTTGGAATCTCTGGAACATCCTTGAAAATCTTTGGGTGTCTTCAGATATGATGGGGTCTTCTTTCAAAATACTGACCAGTACTCCTGTGTCAAAAATCTCATGCTGGTGACTTAAAAAAGGTTGGCATTTACAGAATTAGACATTGTTTTCAATTGGTAAAAAAATTTACACTCCATCCAGTTTTGAATGTCTTCCCTTAGTTCCCAGTGGTGCTTGGTTGAGTGATCTCCCCAAGTATCTAGAATATCACTTTTTTTAATATGGCAGACCACTGAAGAGGCTTGAAGAGCAAAATACTTATCAAACTACTCTGCTCTTTAGTTTTCATACCCCATTCTGCAATTTTACAGTTTTTATATCCTTTGAAGTGTGTGTAAAAGAAGCGATGGCTGACAATCTCCACATAATTTCAATAAAGATAATTTTCCATCCCATCTGTAAGGTCTTAAGCTCCCATTGCAGCATTGCAAGTCTGCCACATTACAGCCATGTTTACTTGAGTGTCAAGAGTAATTTGCATTTGCTTTGGTTTTGTAATACAATTTTAAGCAACAAATAAATTATTGGTCCAAAAAACTCGTGTCACTTTGTCATCCAATCAGAAGTAAAACCAAAAGCCAATAGTGACTTGCTCGGACACGTTTTCCCACGCTTCACATCAGTTACAAGTATTTGCTAGGAGTGTTGATTGGTTCAATGGATTCTCTATGTTCTTTATGATTGGTTAGTACGAGTGATTACTTAAGTTTTGGTTTTACATCATTCAATAATAAAAATAATTGAAAACTGCTCTACTACTTTTTAGACCTGACTGCACCAAGAAAGTGTCTTTGCTTTAAAATCTTGTTTATTCAGTAAATTTTAATGTTTACATGCTCTGAAATGACAAAAATGCGATAAGAACAATCAATAATACTAGGATTTGATTATTTACGATGCAGCCAGTTCAGCTGAATCTTGTTTGCTAGCATTTGTGTCTGTTGTAGATACTTGAGCTTCATTAGATGCTGTGTTTGGTCCATGACGAAGATTTTGCATTGCCTGCAAGACACAGGAAACAGCTGAGGCATCTAAATAGTAATTATTTAAATCAGCAGTTCATTTCTACTGTGCACAATAGTGACAATATTCAAACAAGGTAGTACAATCACAGGTCTCTATCTGGTNATTTAATTTCTTGGGAATCTGATCTCTCAATAGTTGTCTGCAAAATAGTAAAAAGCCTTTTGTTTTGTATAATACATGGTAATGAATCACTCAATAAACTTGATAAAGTTGAAAAAGCCTGTTATGTATTCAGCTGCAAGTCATTTTCCCTGCTGTCCATTTACTTTCCTTCAACTGGTGTTGTGGAAGAAAAAAACCTGACCTGGGAATGATTGATTGGGTAATACTCCCTACCCCCCTTCACATCCCACTCCCTTCCCAACCTCCACCTGAGTACAAAAAACATTCTTTGCAATTCATACCTGACTAGCGTAATAGTGAACTATAAAAGTTGATAAAAAAACTTCTAAGAATAACATACCTCCCAACTGTTATGCCTCCAGTTTGAAAACTTTGATCTCTCACATGTGAGTCACTTCCTCGCCTACAGTAGCTGATAAAAAATCTTCTCATCAGCTCTTACAGCCTTAACTGACAAATGTTTGAAAAATATGGAAACTTTAGCCTACGTAAATGACAGCAGACTTGCCCCAATTCTCTGATTTTAAAAGCAATGGTGGTGGTGTCATGTTAGGTGAGGCATATGCGGTGACTCGGACTAGGAAAAATTTGGAACATGCTTGGAATCTCTGGAACATCCTTGAAAATCTTTGGGTGTCTTCAGATATGATGGGGTCTTCTTTCAAAATACTGACCAGTACTCCTGTGTCAAAAATCTCATGCTGGTGACTTAAAAAAGGTTGGCATTTACAGAATTAGACATTGTTTTCAATTGGTAAAAAAATTTACACTCCATCCAGTTTTGAATGTCTTCCCTTAGTTCCCAGTGGTGCTTGGTTGAGTGATCTCCCCAAGTATCTAGAATATCACTTTTTTTAATATGGCAGACCACTGAAGAGGCTTGAAGAGCAAAATACTTATCAAACTACTCTGCTCTTTAGTTTTCATACCCCATTCTGCAATTTTACAGTTTTTATATCCTTTGAAGTGTGTGTAAAAGAAGCGATGGCTGACAATCTCCACATAATTTCAATAAAGATAATTTTCCATCCCATCTGTAAGGTCTTAAGCTCCCATTGCAGCATTGCAAGTCTGCAGCATTGCAAGTCTGCCACATTACAGCCATGTTTACTTGAGTGTCAAGAGTAATTTGCATTTGCTTTGGTTTTGTAATACAATTTTAAGCAACAAATAAATTATTGGTCCAAAAAACTCGTGTCACTTTGTCATCCAATCAGAAGTAAAACCAAAAGCCAATAGTGACTTGCTCGGACACGTTTTCCCACGCTTCACATCAGTTACAAGTATTTGCTAGGAGTGTTGATTGGTTCAATGGATTCTCTATGTTCTTTATGATTGGTTAGTACGAGTGATTACTTAAGTTTTGGTTTTACATCATTCAATAATAAAAATAATTGAAAACTGCTCTACTACTTTTTAGACCTGACTGCACCAAGAAAGTGTCTTTGCTTTAAAATCTTGTTTATTCAGTAAATTTTAATGTTTACATGCTCTGAAATGACAAAAATGCGATAAGAACAATCAATAATACTAGGATTTGATTATTTACGATGCAGCCAGTTCAGCTGAATCTTGTTTGCTAGCATTTGTGTCTGTTGTAGATACTTGAGCTTCATTAGATGCTGTGTTTGGTCCATGACGAAGATTTTGCATTGCCTGCAAGACACAGGAAACAGCTGAGGCATCTAAATAGTAATTATTTAAATCAGCAGTTCATTTCTACTGTGCACAATAGTGACAATATTCAAACAAGGTAGTACAATCACAGGTCTCTATCTGGTATCAGATAGATTGCTATGTAATCAGACACATGTGAGTAAGTTATCTACAACAGCAGCAGTAATGCCACTGAACAGAAGGCTTCACAAGCAGTGAAATGTTGGTATGCAACATTTTCACATTAGCAATATTGCTCCTCCTAGAGATAATAATAATTATAGGAATTTATGTCCACAAGAGGAGAAACATGGTTTGAGGAAACCATTTTCTTTCAGTCAAACTCAATAATTGTAAGAAAATTAAAACAGCAAATCATAAGACGTATGAAGTTACCAGACTGAAAATGTGCTCTTTGACAACTCAACAGTGATGCGCACATGAGATCTCTGAAGTCTTATGTCATCACGTGGAACTCAAGCAAGGGCCCATGAGAGTTTGACATGTATCTGTTAACTTTTTTAAGCTAAGCATTATAGCAATATAAGCTACTGCGTACAGCTTAAGATACACTGTGATCACTTACTTGGTAATAACCTGTATGATAGCCACTCAAATACCAAGCCATTAACATGCTTGCTAAAGCATCACTATC